GTGGTACTACGTGGAAAATATCATGCTAAGCGAAATGAGTCAGAGAGGGATAGATGTAGAAAGATTGCATTCATCTGGGGAACATTAAGTAACAAAATAGGAGACTAACACCCAAGAATAGCCGAGATTAGTACCAGGAGATTTACTCTATGGCTTGGAGGCCAGCCACACATGGGGAAAAGGGAGCTCAGATAGAGAAGGGAGCACCAAATAAAGGGTGTTGGGAGGATCCTCCCAGCATGGGAGATGCATGCTGAAAGTAGACTATTGACCAAACATGATTGCCACTCAATGCCTCTCTTGCAAAACACAGTACCCAAAAGAAGAGAGAGAGAACAAGGGGGAATGCCTTATCACAGAGGTAGGGTGGGATGGGGGGCTGGGGGGGTGGGAGGGATACTGGGATCAGTGGTGGTGGAGAATGGGTACTCGATCATATATCTGAAACCCAAGGACAAAAACTTGTAAGTCTACAACTGTACCTCATGGTGTTGCACTAATAAAAATAAAATAAAAAAAGAGTGCTTGTACTATTCATAAATGCAAATAAGTGAGTCAGGAACGTAAGACAGCCATAAATGCCAAAACTTCAACAAGAACAGGAGATAAGAACTTAAAACATAGTATCCAAGTATTTTAGATTTCTAGGAAAATCATATTCAAAATCAAATGAGTTAACTAGAACTTGACAGTACCTAATGCAAAGTTTCCAGCGTATGATTTATTTAGCCCAGTACTAAATAACCTTGGTTTCTCAGTAGATCACAACTTCTGGAATGGCTTGGCCCAATCCCTCAGGGACATGGATGATGTCTGAGAAGGCTCTCGGTTGTCACAAAAGAGGCATGGAAGTGCCACAGACACTTAGCCAGTAGAAAGCAGGTTGACTGCAAAACATCCTACAATGTGTAGGATAACACCTCAGTGAAGAATTAATTGCCGGGCTGGAGTGATAGCACAGCGGGTAGGGCGTTTGCCTTGCACGCAGCCAACATGACCGACACAGGTTCGATTCCCAGCACCCCATATGGTCCCCTGAGCACCGCCAGGAGCAATTCCTGAGTGCATGAGCCAGGAGTAACCCCTGAGCATTGCCGGGTGTGACCCAAAAAGCAAAAAAAAAAAAAAAAAAAAAAAAAAAGAATTAATTGCCTGGCCCCAAGTGTCTGGTTTAAGTATAAGCAGAGTCCTTAGGAGATCATTATTTTTAGGGCATTAAAAATAGCTGGAGAAACTCATTCAGACAGGTTTCTAGGGGTGGGAGCAATAGTATGACTGGCAGAGAGGCTTGGCTTTGCAAATGGCCAACCTGGTTTCAATTTTTGGCACCACATATGGTCCCCAAAGCTCTTCCAGGAGTGATCCCTGAGCACAGAGTCAGAAATAAATCCTGAGCACAGCTGGGTGTAACCCCCCCCCCCAAAAAAAAAACAAATAAAAGCAAAAACACAAAAAAGAGAGAGAAAGTTTTCTAAATTTTCTGGCAAATCTGAGTGACACCACATCTAGATTTCGGATCACAGATGGGAGTTGTACGTTCTGCTTCTTAAAGTTCCTGATACAATAAGAGGGCTTTCTGATGCAGTGATAAAGACAATTTACCCTGACGTGGGGCTTCTCTGGTTGGCTCCGGATTGCTTGGGGGGTGGTGTGAAATAATAGGAGGCACGAGCGATGGATGATCTTCTGTCCATTCTACCAGAAACAGAAGAAACAGTTTGCTGGCTGTCCTCCAAATGGCTGGGCCATGACTGAGAACTCAACTTCTCAATTACAAATCTCCTCAAACCAGTAAAAGCAGGACAGAGAACGTAGACTGAAAAATAAGTTGCTGGGTCGGAGAGATAGTGCTGTAATAAAGGTGCTTGCCTTGCATGTGGCTGAACTCTAGGCATGACATCTGGCCCCCAAGCTGTGTCAAGAGATACTGGGATCAGTGGTGGTGGAGAATGGGCACTGGTAGAGGGATGGATGGGTACTCGATCATTGTATAACTGAAACCCAAGAACAAAAATTTGTAAGTCCACAACTGTACCTCATAGTGTTTCACTAATAAAAATTTAAAAAAAAAAGAGTCCTCAGCATAGCTGGTGGGGCCAATTCCTCTCCCTCCTGACAAAATTTTTTAATTAAGAAAAAAAAAAAGAAATTTTCCCCTCTAGTTCTATTCTCTATAAAGATTTCTAGCTGGCTTTCACTGACACCCCTCGCTCCTCAGATATTTGAGGAAAAAACAGAGTCATGTAACTATTACAAATTTCAGATCTCAAGGCTGAAGAGATAGTTCATTGGGCAGGGTGCTTGCTTCACATGCGGCCTCCCAGAGTTAAGTACTCTATACGGTATATGGTCCTCTGAACACTGCCAGGGACTATTCCTGATCATGGAGCCAGGTATAAAAATTCTAAGCACAGGGCTAGAGTGATAACACAGTGGGTAGGGCGTTTGCTATGCACGCAGCCAACCTGGATTTGATTCCCAGCATGCTATATGGTCCCCTGAGCACTGCCAGGAGTAACTCCTGAGTGCAGAGCCAGGAATAACCCCTGTGCATCGCCGGGTGTTACCCAAAAAGAAAATAAATAAATAAATAAATAAATAAATAAATGAATAAAAGTTCTAAGCACAATTGGGTGTGGTCTGAAATTAAAAATTTTAAAAAATCAGATATCTTTAGTCAGAGTTCAAAGTAAGACCAAACAAAGACTGTGAGGGAAGACAGACCTCATTAGAGCTACCCAGTAAAGAAGAAATATTCCAAAAGTGATTGAGACATGTTCCTCTGAAGTCTGAAGGTCTCAGGGCAGAGATGGGGGATTTAAGCTGATGGGTTCTATCTCCTTTCACCTCAAAGCCCAAATGAACCCCATTTCCAATACTCCTGAGTCATAACTGAAGTCTTATTCACAAGTGGAGGCCTAGAAATATTATCGCGAGTAACTCTGGACATGAATCCTAGGGTCACTCTCCAACTGCTGAAATATTTAGTTCTGTCTTCTCATTCCTCAACTTACATCTTCCAATATACCATGTTTCACCATTTTAGAAAAAAATATTTAAAGACGTATTTTTAATAAAAAATAGAGTAAGGTCCTCCCGCTGTTCATCGATTTTCTCAAGCAGGCCCAGTAACGTCTCCACTGGAGACTTCGTTGTTACTGTGTTTGGCATATTGAATACATCACGGGTAGCTTGCCAGGCTTTGCCATGCGGGCAAGATACTCTCAGTAGCTTGCTGGGCTCTCTAAGAGGGGCGGAGTAATCAAACTCAGGTAGGCCATGTTGGCTGTGTGCAAGGCAAACGCCCTACCGCTGTGCTATCTCTCCAGCCCACAGAGTAAAGTACAAAGGACATTTTTTAACATGGAAACACACACACATATTTATGCTCTAACATAAGGTTTATGGCAGCAGTTGGCACACTAAGGCTTACAGGGTTGTTTGGCCCTGGTAATTGGCCCCAATGTCTATCTTATTGTTGTTGTTTTACTTTTTAATGTTTTCCCCTTTTGGGTCACACCTGGCAATGCTCAGGCTTGACTCCTGGCTCTGCACTCAGGAATCACTCCTGCTGGTGCTCGAGGGACCATATGGGATGCCAGGGATTGTACCCAGTTTGACCGTGTGCAAGGCCCTCCCCGCTGCACTGTTGTTTGGGCTCCTTGTTGTTTTTTTGGGAACCACATCTAGTGGTATTTAAGTTCTACTACTAGGGCAGTGGTTGGGAGATCATGTGCTATCCAGGATCATAACCAATTTCCCAGTGCCTGCTTTTATTACCTTGCAGCCAAACATGACTTCCCATTGTTAAATCAAGAAAAATTTCAATGAAAACTTCAAAGCACATGAAAATTATATGAAGTTCAGATCATTGTTTATAAGTTCTCTGGAACATAGTCACACATCCATTCTTTACATTAGCTATAGTTGTTTCAGACCACAATGGCACAAATGAGTAGCTGTAATTAAGACTAAATGAACAGCAAAATCTATAATATTTACCATATGTTCATTCACAGGAAAAGTTTGCCAATTTTTATCTCTGTCAACATTTATGATATTCAAAATTATCACAACGGAAGTGTCTTATTTGCTATCAACAAACTGAGAAAGGATTAAGTCTATTGTTTCAAAAGTTGCAGTAAGAAACTTGGACAACAAAGTCTCCAATGGAGATGTTACTGGGCCCGCTCGAGCAAATCGATGATCAACGGGAGGGCCTTTACTTTACTTTATATAAATTAATCTAGTATTATTAATAGACAGCTAAATGAAGAAATAAACGGAATTAGTCATAAAAAACATTATATAGCTATTAAAAACAATAAGGTAAATCAACGTTAATGAACGCAGTTATAATCTCTCCATATGAGTGGATTGTATATGTGTATATATATGCCTATATGTAAATATAATTATGTCCTGATTTTTCTTAAACTATATAGATACATTTACATTTCACTAAAAAAATGCTTTAGTTTTTATCAAGGAGAATAGATGGGAGCTGGGAAGAATTTAATGTCATCCATGCCTGAACTATTCATAACTTCACGAAGAACATGAATTAAATTTGGGGGGCAGGCTCTCAATCGTATCAGCTCCTGGCGATTCTTACACAGAACGTTCCTAAAATTAAAAGTCAGACTCATGCTCACTACGAAAGTCCTTGAAGTGCTGCAAGCAGCCTGGTTTTCCATGCCAGTCGCAATTTACGCGCTGCGGAAGCAAAGCGCTTGGACCGCCAGGGGAAGGCTCTCCCATCTCCAGCCGGCTGCCTGCTCAAGTCCAGCGCTCTTAGGGACCTCTGCATTGGACCTTCTCCTCTAGCTCTCTGGGTTCTGGGCTGGGGGGTTGTCAGAAGCTGATTTCTTCCTCCAGGACGGAGAAATGAATCCTCAGCGGGGCAGGCAGTGAAATGATCACAGAGGTCGACTCTGACCACTTGGGGGTGTCGGTGCCCAGGCTTTGCCGGGAGCTCCTCTGACCATGAGATAGCCTACCTTCTGGCTGCTGCGGCTGCTGCGGCTGCTGCTGCTGCTGCGGCTGCGGCTGCTGCAGCTGTTGCTGCGGCTGCTGCGGCTGTTGCTGCTGCTGCTGCTGCGGCTGTTGCTGCTGCTGCTCCAGCTGCTTCTTCCGCTTGGCTTCCAGAACTGGATTCTCATACTGTGTCTTCCGGTTGATGTGGCTGCAGCAGAAAGCAGAGAGGTGACTTAGTTAAGGAACATCTCCCAAGCAAACTGCCAATCAGACGAGGTCCCTTGGTCAAGGTCGCAGCCAAACGGGTGCTCCAGGTGCTGCTCATCTTGTGTCAGAGTGCAAAGTGAGGAAACGGAAATTGTGTGTGTGGATGGTGTCCCCTAGGCTCACTGCTTAGATGCCGAGCACTGTGTGATGCGTCTTCTAATGACCTTTGGCTTTGTGTTGTTTCTGGGTTTATTTTGTTTGTTTTAGTTTGGTTTGGGGGACACACCTGAGAGAGCTCAGTGGTGACTGCTGAAATAATTCCTGGCAGTGCTTGCAGTGCCAGAGACGGAATCTGGGCCTCCTGCATAAGAAACTTGTGGTTCCAGGCTTTTGAGCTACCTCCCAGCCCATTTTACAGGACTTAAAAGAATACTGTCACGGTCCTCTCGTCGTTCATTGATTTGCTCGAGCGGGCCCAGTAACATTATGAGACTTGTTGTTACTGTGTTTGGCATATCAAATACGTCATGGGTAGCTTGCCAGGCTTTGCCGTGTGGGCAAGATACTCTGGGTAGCTTGCCGGGCTCTCCGAGAGGGGTGGAGGAATTGAACTCAGGTCGACCGGGTGGGCCGTGTGCAAGGCAAATGCCCTGCTTGCTGTGCTATCGCACCAGCCCTAAAAGAATACAACCTCAATGAAGTCGGAAGGTAGGTTCTATCTTTATTAGTATCTTATGGATAAGAATAGTAAATTTTCAAATGGCTAGGGTATAAGTCATTTAAACTAGTAAATACTGAAGAGACCAGATCTGTCTACTCCAAAGGCCAGAGCGACAGAGAATACAGCAGGAAGGCGCTTTCCTTACACATGGTCCCTCGAACCCCTGGATGTGGTCCTCAAACCAAAGCAACCAACAAAAACCCATATACACAGTCATTTCTAACTGCTCCCAAGATTTTAACTGCAGATTCTGCCCAAATTTTCAAATAGTTACTTGACAGAAAGTGCCGAAGAAAATCAGAAAATTATTAAGAAACAGATGAAGAAATTTAATGTTACCGGCAACTATGATCTCTTATTTTTTAACTAATTCACTTTTTTATAGGGGTCATGCCCATTGGCTCTCTTGAAGCCATGTGTGTCGGCAACTGAGTTCAAGGCCTGGGACACGCTAGTCACGTGCTCTATCATCCACATTATCTCCTCTGCCCCTGTAATATTGGTTGGCAATTGCTCATCGTTGGGTCATTTTGAGTCTGCAGAAATTTCCTGCTGGTCCACAAAAATATTATTGCCATTTAAATGACAGTGGTTTCAAAGCCACCAGACCAGTGTCAGTCCATAGGTATAAGAAGGGTGAAAATAAAAAAAAAAAAACACTGATCGGGGCTGGAGCAATAACACAGCGAGTAAGGCATTTGCCTTGCATGTGATCGACCTGGGTTCGATTCCCAGCATTCCATGTGGTTCCCTGAGCACTGCCAGGGGTAAATCCTGAGTGCAGAGCTAGGAGTAACCCTTGTGCATTGCCGGGTGTGACCCAGAAAGAAAAAACAAAAAACAAACAAACAAAATAACAAAAGCACTAATCTATAACACATACACAATGTTAGAACTGCTGTATAACTTCCTACAGTAGTGTTCAAAGAAGCATAAGCATTCACTCAAAGTTAAAAAAAAAAAAAGAAGTGCACCAACATCTGTCAACTATTTTGATCAATAGACATGGAACCAGAATTAAAAGTATAAGCCTCAGGCCATAGAAACTTCAAATGCAGCTAGCCCAAGCGAATATTATGTGTTCAAAGGAACAAAGATCCAGACACTTCAGATGGTTCCATATCTAATCAGGCCAGACCAAAACAAAAATGCACACACAGACAAATACAAAAGCACATACACACATATAAATATGTGTGTATTCTTATCTTGGCCTTATTTATTATAGTATATATATATGTACCATATACACCACTCATAATGTTATACACACATATTTAATCTTAATAATACAGACGTTGTTCCATCAAAATCACTTCAGTAGAATTTTGCAAACATACTTATGTGATTTAGAAATTGAAATATTTTTATTCCACGTTTTCTATGAGGCAAGCCTATCAAATAGTAAAGATAGACTGATTATCTTGTTTTGTTTTGTTCTTGGGTCATACCCAGTGATGGTCAGGGGTTACTCCAGATTCTGCACTCAGGAAATATTTCTGGAAGAGATCAGGGGACCATATGCAGTGCTTAGGATCAAACGCAGGTTGGTGACAAGCATAACAAGAGCTGTATCTGCTGTACTATTACTCTGGCCCCATAAGACTGATTCTCCTTTTTCTTTCTTTCTTTTTTTTTTTTTTTGTAATTTTGAGTCACGTGTGGCGATGCTCAGGGGTTACTTTTGGCTCTGCACTCAGGAATTACTCCTGATGGTGCTCTGAGGACCATATGGGATGTTGGGGATCGAATCTTGGCAGGCCGAGAGCAAGGCAAATATACTAAGTCTGCTGTACTATCAATCCGGCCCAAGACTGATCATTCTTAATTTCTATTATGTCCTACTTGTTTGTTTCCTAATCTTGAAGTTGATTTAATCCTATGAAATAGTCTAACATGAACAGGCATGTGGACCTGAGAAAATAAAGCCGTTGGAAGGCTTAAGTATGGCAAGATAAAAACTTGTCTGCCCTAAACCAAACCCCATCCACCAAACTGACATCATCTGTTCCAATTCTTGAAACGTACCTATTAAGGGCACCTCTTAGTGTCATCCTATAATCGAGGGTTCTGATGAGAGGATGAAATGTAAGCCCTATTCTAAAAGAAGGCACATTGTAATGAGGTTCTGATGAGGGCTAAGCTCAAATTAGCCTGCAACAAGCTAGAAGACCTCTGTTCCTATGCAGGCCACAGGAGGAACCTGATTTTTTTTTTCCTTTCTGGGTCACAACTGATGCACAGGGCTGACTCCTGGCGCAAGCACTCAGGAATTACTCTGGGCAGTGCTTGAAGGACCATATGGGATGCTGGGAATTGAACCCGAATTGGATGCGTGCAAGGCAAACGCCCTACCCTCTGTGCTATCGCTCCAGCCCCGGAACCTGATTTTTATGAGGGTCAGAACAACGATTGAGCTTGTGTTTCTGATGTCCTATATCATCTCCATTCCATCCTGTAGGCAAAGAGGAGACCATGTGACTGCTGCCAAGGACACTTGCTATACATCACTCATCATTTTTACAATAAGATACTGAGCATTTTATAGCCTGGCATTTTGGCATCATATGTTCTTATCACCAGGGTATTATACAAATGACTTTTCACTGCCAGTAGTGTGAAGGATAGAAAGCATGCCATTATCTTCATTGTGGCAGGCAGTATTGTGATGATAGGACATTTATATGGCACTTGCTTTATTTTTTTTAAAGGGTCTTTTATTAGCTATTTCTTTTCTTTCTCAGAGGAAGTGATATAATGTGTAATGTGTATCTTTTTCAAAGGTTAATCTCTTGGGCTTCTCATGTTCTTAGTGTCATCCTATAATAGAGGGTTCTGATGAAAGGACAAAATGTATGCCCTACTCTAGAATAAGGTAGGTACGTTGTAGTGAGGTCATGATAAGGGCTTAAGACTTAAAATACAGAAAGGAGGGCTGAGAATATGGTTGTGGATCAAGTGGTAGAGCACACAGCTGTAGGTGTGAGGCCCTGTGTTGATCCCGGTTACTGCAGGTGCCCCCACCTCCATCCCTGAGTACTGCCCTCCCAAACACACAGAAAAAGGAAGAACATTCAGATGTTTGGTTCTCGGTACAGGAGACGCTGCAAAGAGGAAAAGAAGATTGAACAATGTAGGTTAGCTTTCAACTCTCTTCTTACTCTTGGCCACATGTTGTAATGTGGAATATTGTTAATTCATTTCAAGTTTCAGACTTCTTATGCTTCTCGGGTGTGGGAGGCACAACCAGCCCTGTGTTGAGGGCTGACTCCTGGTTCTGAGTTTGGGGGTCACTCCTGGCAGGCTCGGGGACAATAATCATACTAGGGTTGGCCTAGTGCAAGGCAAGTCCTCTTCTTGCTGTACTATTACTCTGGCCCTTGTCCTAGCCTTTTAGAACATCCAAATGAACAAATAGTCCCTGAGAAATTCAAATCTGAGTAAGACTAAAGCTAGGCAAAACAGGGCTTCCTCCTAATGATCAGCAGCCTCTACTGATCTGGTCAAACGAATGCGTACTTTACTCATTCGCTCATTTACCTAATATTTATTAATTACCTGCCATGTGCCGGGGCTCTACTAGGCTTTGACGATATAGATGTAAATAAAACACAAATTCTGCCCTTGCGAATGATATAATTTCACATACTACCTATATATTCACTAAATATTGTCTCATTGATTAAGATGAATTAAGGTACATGCATGTTTTCATTGTATAATTACTAGAATGCTGTTATTTTTAGTCTGTACCTGATGATGTTCTTGAGCACAAATGTACATGAAAAGGAAATACAACTAATGTGTGGACGAATTGCACTTACTCTACATAGTAGATACCATAGACAGGGTCTTCAATCTTTTCCCAACCAGCAGGCAGTTCTGAAAAACAAAAAAACATTTAGAGCAAGAAGAGCATATTCTTTTTTTTTTTCCTTTTTTGGGACACACCCAGCGATGCACAGGGGTTACTCCTAGTTCATGCACTCAGGAATCACTCCTGGTGGTGCCCGGGGGATCATATGGGATGCTGGGATTCGAACCCGGATTGGCCACGTGCACAACAAACGCCCTACCCACTGTACTATGGCTCAAGCCTTGAAGAGCATATTCTTGAAAAACCTAGGGATTTTTAAACAACTAAGTTAAGCAAAAAGAGAGATTCATAAAAATGCCTTAAATCTAATCAAAATGGTATAACCTAACTAAAAGCAAACAAAAAAGCAAGTATTTAAAAAAAATTATCAGTATATTTTTCTACACAAAAAGAAATTCTTTATCGATATTTTGAGCAAGCAAATTAAAGTTAATAAAATGCAATCCCAGGTGCCTTCATTCTAACTCAACTGCTAAATTAGATTTTAATGGAAATAGTTAAAATGTGCCTTGAATAACTACTCCGTATCTTAAATATTTACACTTTTCCTATTTTCTTTCTAGACCACCTTATCATACAAACAAAAACATGGATGGAAAGTGTTTCCGTTTCATTTTCAATGCAAAAGTGCCGGTTTTTGCCTGGCAAAAATTACAAATGCATCTCATTTTCTCCTTGTTCCAAACTAAAACGGCATTAAGTAAAAACGCCCACAAGGACAGGTTCCCTGTGTCTATCGTTCAACTGCTCTAGTTGGACAGGCCAGTCTTTATCAGTACTTTGCGAATCACAGCAGAAACAGATCCTGTTTTCAGGCTGTGAAGGAATTTACACCTTCAAGGGTGATTGTGAAAGCCTTTCTGTGACCTAAGGGTCTTTTCCTAATGATGCACATCAAAGATTGAAATTTTATTAATTAGGTAATAGTAAGTCTGGAATAATCTGCATCTTTTGAGGAAAGCACATTGCCCCCGGTGATTTCACTTCAGTTGAAGAGCAACTAGGTTGTGCTTTGTATTATTAACCAATTATTTCAGCAGAGAAGTTTTACTTATTTTCAGTACTACCGTAATCTATACACAGTTGATGCTAGCTTATATAAATCACATTCCAAATGGAATCATTATTCCTAGAAGTAGCTATTAAGATCAACTTGAATAGAATATTATAAACACTTGAATTATCAGTTACTTAGAGATACAACTATCTTTTCAAAAAGCTGAGCGATCATGTGGTTACTACTTTCAAACAGTGACCATTTCATCAGGATATGGGGCTTACATATGCCACAAAAATTTCACTCGGAAACAGAGTCTCAAGTCACACACACACACACACACACACACACACACACACACACGCTAATTACTCAAAGTTTATGTTTTGTTCTAATTTGGCTGCACATCAAGAGACATTAATTTTATGGTTTTTGCTCCACATGCTATTTGTTTGCAAACAAAGAGACAGGTTTCTCCCTTTTTTCTACTTAAAAAAAACAGCAGGTTTTAAAGGAGTCTTTGAATTCTGGGAGACATAAGCTACTAAAATGCAAGACAGGTTCAACAGGCAGATGTTGATATAACTTGGCATTTTCATATGCTGGGTCTTGGAGAGGGATGCAAATCAAATGCCTGGGAAATGGTTTCCCCTTACAACAGTGAAAATTACCATTTAAATGAAAATAAACCAGGAAAATATTTTCAAAGAGTTGGAAAATGGAAAATTAGAAAGATGCAAATAGGTGCGCAGTCATCTGTTTTGGGGAAGGGCAGGAAAGTGTTCCACGTGATGTTTGAAGCAGACCACTTTTCAGGAGCTCAGAGCCAGGAGGAAGCCAGTCGCGGCTTCCAAAGAAACAAAAACAAACCTCTTCCAAAACATCTGCCCACCTTCAGTATTTAATATGATTATCTTCAGCTTAAAATACAAAGTAGGGAAATGGCAAAACTTAATACTTGCAAATTGAATTATTAATTGATCAAATCTCTATAGGGTGCATACAGTCTTCCTGAGAGTGTGGGAATTACCAGGATCTCAAAACTAACTGTAAGAGCACTGTTTGTGCAGACAATTCAAGCCCTTACTGGATAAGCACTTGGGTGAGGTTTGAGGAGGACACAAGAGGAGGCATCACATTTGATCCCTTTCCTGTTGCCTGGTCAACAATTTATAATCTAGAGTGGGGAAATGAGGCCGGTCAACTGATAGTTCTGGAAATTTATAAATTTAAACACATCTTTTGGAACACATTAGCAAACTCCAGAAATTGTCCAGTTTTTCAAGCTAAAACTCATTTTAAATTGAAAAGATAGATTTCTCACTTCCAATGTGGTGATTAACTTAATAATAGGAATTAGTCTCTGAATCCTTAAAATAGAAATGGGTCATCGATTTAAAAAGGGAAGATGTTTGTCCTCGAATTTGCCATTTGGTTCTAAAAAAACTGAAAATGGCAGAAAATACTTCAGCCCAGAATACTGATGATAGAAGATTTTTTTTTATTCTCTCTTCTATTCCCTTGTAATTACTCAAGTCTCACAATAGAGACGTTACTGGGCCCACTCAAGCAAATCAATGAACAATGGGAGGACAGTGCTACAGTGCTATTCGGCGTGGCCCAAAAACCAAAAAAAAGAAAGACCAGACTACACAGCCTGTCACAGAGATTCAGATGGCTACCTTCCTCTTTTTAAAATTTATTTTTACCTTCATTTTTGAGCTACGTTCAGCTTTGCTCCAGGCTCAGTTCTCAGGGGTCACTTCTGCCAGTGCTCAGAAGACCAGGCAGTTCCAGGAATCAATCCCAGGCCTCCAACATGCAAAACATATTTTTCACCCCTCTGAGCCATCATCTGTCCAGCTTAACTGAGACCTTTTTGGGGGTAGAACCTTAACTATAACATCTAAAATGTCTCATTTTCCTTAACATCTCAGACCACATGTTAACATCTCAGGTAACACCTTTCTCCTGCGTTGACCAGGGATTGAAAGAGAATGCTTATAAATCATTTTGCATAGCACTTGGCCAATATGGTCAACCAATGGCACCTGTTACCAAACTGTAACTTAGTTTTGGCTTGAAAGGGGATTAATTTCTGTGTCTCTGCCTCCACTAGTTAACTGCCGTATGTGGACAGCAAAAAGCAGTTCTGATGTGTTTTTAGACAAAGGGGCTGATATCTAACAAGTATGTGATTAACTCTGCAAACCAAAAGTGCACAATGGAGCTACTGGTTCAGTTCAAACGACAGAGCTCAGAAATGACAACTGTATAATCAAAAGACCTATGTCCAACGCCCCAGCCAAGGGGCGCCATCTCTCTGAAGCAGATTACCGAGAGGGTGTGTCCTTGTCACATCTGGAATCTCATTGTTCACGAAAAATCTGACAGCTGCTATTCTTGAAAGTAGGACCCCCTTATTAAGAAAATGGGCAGTGAGCTTGTCAACACAATCTGGAGTGAATGCAACAGAAAATAGTGCATATGTGTGTACACACAACACTTTATGTGTGGACACGTGCAGATAAAAATCAAGAGTCCTAGCTCTGGCCTGCCCACACAGAGGAAACATGAGGGTCGTTTTTATAGAATACACATGCCTCCTCTGTTCCATAATAAAAGCAAACATGACAAGAAGGAAGTATGGAGAGGAAATCAGTTCAATTATACAAATGTAAAAAAAATAATAAAATTATTTTTATCACTGTGGGAAGAGCAAAACACATTCTCATTAAGTTTCCTCATGAGCAACATGGGAGTGCCTCTCTCAGCCCCCCGTTTTTATAGATAAGAGAGGGGAAACCAAGGTCATGGAGCTGGATTCAGCACTTCACAAACTATTACTGGAATTATGGCTGTGGCCATGAGAGGTGATACTAGGAAGACAGTTAAACTTGTTGTTAAGTATTTTCCAAGATAGGGAAGTTTCTGTCACATGACTGCATTGCTACATGGGAATAAACAATGCAGAAAATTCTTTCCTAAAGTTTTCAAATTTCCACAGACGCAAGAAAGGTTGCTTCCTCATGCTCATGGGACAACAAAAGTAAATCACACATACTACCCAGCTAGCACACAACAATTTTAGATGCTTGGGTGAACTAGGGCACTAATTTTGTGTTTGGAAAACCCAATACTCTCTTTTTAAAAATTTTCTCCTTTTTCTTGTTCTGCTTTGTTTTAGGGGGTCACGCCCAGTAGTGCTCATAATTTACTTGTAGCTCTTTGCTTAGGGATCACTCCTGGTAATGCATGGGGAACCATCGGTGGTGATGGGGATTGAACCAGGGTCAGCTGTCCAAGGCAAATACTTTAATCCCTGTACTTTCTTCCTGGCCCCTTTAATTATTATAATAAAATGGGATTGATACTCTTCTAAAAAGTTAAAAATTGTTCCATAACACAGATTGAAACTCAACTTATTTCCACCAGAATGATGACAAGAACAACTTATAAACATCTTCAAATATAGATTTTTTGGGGTCTGAGAGATATTGCAGCAGTTATGATATTTGCGTTACCTCCAGTACAAGTAATCAGCATCATATATAGTTCCCTAAGTATGCTAAGGGCTGAGTACAGAGCCAGAAATTAGACCAGATAGCTCTATTAATAGTTATATATATATCAGTGGTAGTTACCACTGATATATCCATCATTTCTACAACTGAGTATGTCCTAAACACTAAGAAAAATAGTTAAAATCATGATTATTTTATCTATGTTAACAAAAACAAAATTTAAAAAAATAATCTGTTAAATATTTTGAAATGTTAGTTCTTAAGCGGGCTGGAACGATAGCACAGCAGGTATGGCGTTTGCCTTGCACATGGCTGACCAGGCTGACCCGAGTTCGATTCTTCCACCCCTCTCGGAGAGCCCGGCAAGCTACCAAGAGTAACTCGCCCGCACGGCAAAGCTTGGCAAACTCCCCATGACGTATTTCATATGCCAAACACAGTAACAACAAGTCTCATAATGTTACTGGGCCCGCTCGAGCAAATCGATGAACAACGGGAGGACAGTTATTAAGCAAATCTCAAAACGGCTAGGACGATTTAATAATCTATGGACAGTTCCACTAACATTGATCTCTAATATTTTCTTAATCCTAAATTTTTAAAACTACCTCTCACCAATTTGATATTCCACTCCTGCCTCAACTTGCTTGAACCTTTTCTGTATGGACACAATATACTCAAATGCTGGGTGCTGCTTGCAGTCAGACACACGCATTGAAAAACTGACCTTTCGTCCATAAGCTAGAGCGGAAAACATGGCTGGAGAAGTGCAAACTAACAAAATCAAGGGATGGACCAATTCACTGGGAACAAGGCCATTGAGGGCAAGTCATGCAGCTGCGGGCTGGGAGGGCTTTACCTAGTTCACTGTCCAGCTCCTCGGTGTGGACCCCTTCTTCTCCAAAGGAATAGCAGGAATGAGACAGAAAAGAGAGAGAAATATTCAGACACCAGCACCAAGAAAGAGACTCCCCTCAGAAAAATAGCAGTGAACATATCATTTTATTTTGTCCTTACCTGCATTGTGGCTTAATTCATTGACTTGGCTAGTAAACCCGAGACCACAGTGTAAATCACTAAGTGGTCAGAGCTGATATTGGCAACATAATTACACGGCTCATTTCCTTGCATGTCAAGAGAGGAGTTGATTGGTTATAAAAGATGACAAATACCTCTGCGGTTTCTGTGTTCTTAAGTGAGAAGTCACTTATTACAAACCTTATTTCGAGCAAACGAAGCTGCTAGACCTTTCAATACTAGTCCTTTTAATCCTTCAATAAATCCTGTAATCAGTGAGGCAATTAGACTCACAATTAAAGCATTACTTAAAAGTAATATTGCTGCCTGAAAAATAGAAGGTAAGGTCAAATAGAGAACTCAGCTTATAAAATGAGCTACGCTTCAATCCCTCAACTGGAGTCAGAAAGATGAACTATGTCTGATGTACATCAAGGAAGCAAGGCTTTTAAAGGTTGCCCTGAAAAGTGTATTGGGAGGCAGAATATAGTTCGTCTAGGATTTTGAAGTCATATAGCTTAGAATTATTATAATGAAAATGGTGTCAATAGTGTCATTGTGTGGAACAAGTCAAGACCATCTCCATTCTAGACTGTCTCCTGTTATCAGTAAACTATTTTATTATAGAATTGAGAAGCAAATGCAGAACACATGCAACAATCTTCCCAACTACAGAGCGGGTTATCTGCCCCTCTGCTATAAGCTCTGTAAATGCAGACATCCAGCCTGTTTACTATTGCAATACGCTCCTGCCCAGTGCAGTTTTTGGGTACATGGCAGGTATTAAATATTTCTTAAATGCACGCATGAATGAATGAAAAATGAATCAATGATAGGTTTGAGTAACTAATAGAGGTTTACCTAATTTATGAAATCTTGTTTTTAAAATTATCCACAGCCAACATTAAGAATTGGCACTAGTATTGTCTCTTTTCAAAAGTCATCAGATTTCCAGCAAATGTTTAATTAAAATTCCCATCAGGATATAATTAAATAACATCTTTGGGGGCTTTATTCATTTCTTTATTTTTTCCACCTTGTTGCTGGGCCCCACTGGGAGCAAATACTGTTAATGCTGATGATGAGATCTGCCATGCGCCAGTCACTGTACTGGGTGTCAGAGATGCCAAAATGAGCACAGACACATTTCTAATCCATCAAAGGCAGAGACAAGCCCAAAGCTCATATTAATAAAAATGAAATTAAAACTGCCATGAGTCCCCTAGAGGAAGACATATAATAATGTAATTGTACCTGGGGGCAAGGTCACAGGAAAAGTCCCTGAGCAGTCATCTGAAGGACATGCAAAATTTAATGAAAAAGACTTGAGGATAAACACTGATGAGAACTTAAGCTGTCCAAGAGTGGGACTTCTGGTTTGCTGCTTTCATTGATAGGTCCTAGAGTGCACTAGATATGCAAAAGGAGTTCAGTCGCTCTGTGGAATGAAAGCATATTTGAAGCAGAGAGGGCTGCATGTTTGTCCTGGAGCAGACCCAGAAGCAAGAGGGCTAGTGGATATGAGGGACAGAGCAGGGATGGGTGTGAGTGAGGAAGTAATAGAGACGTGGAGTGACAGGATGCGGGCATGGCTTTACTAAGCCAATCCAGAGCCATTGAATATTGCTTGAGGAAGAGGTCATAACACCTGATCAGAAAATCATATTTACATTGTAAAGATTGCTTTCACCACAATGCAAGGAGAATGGGCAAGAGTGCAGGGGGAAGAGGAGCATGACTTGAACGTGGATGGTCAAGAGGGTGAAGAGTGAAAACTTTCCCTGCATCGCTGGGAAACAAAGTGAACTCAGCTGGTAGATGGATTTGGAATGGGTGTGAAGAAATGGAGTAAATCAAGGGACATACTTGAGAATGTATGAATTTACCCTGAATTGAGAGAGGGAAAACTTACCGTGGACCAGATTGGTAGTTAGTGGGGAGATCACTAGTCAGGTTTTAATCAGATTGAGTTTGAAGTCTCTTTGAGGCAACCAGTTGGCATTATTAACCAGGCAGATTAAAACACTGCCTGCAGCTCAAAGGCCAGGATGAAAGCTTCTACTTTTAATAGAACTCAATACATAGAAATGACAAAAGGAGTTACACACTCGGATCAGATTCTCAAATTTGTCCCCCACTTTTGAGAGAAAATAAAAAACAGAATTATTTTTTTACAATTGTATCGTGCTACAGAAACTAGAGTACTTTTATTCCATGTGCCTGTGGCCTACATAGAGTCAGAAAGAGAAAAATACTGACTGGAATGTGCCCAATATTGCTACTGGTCTCTGCATCATGCTATAAACGATACCACAAGGAAGACTGTGCCAGATTTTAATTGGCAACAGAAAATATAGGTATGGGAGCTGATGTTTGTTATAATGGTATAATCTAGTAACATATTTATACTGTTTGTGTACACAAAAACACAGGCATACATATAATTAATTTCCTCTAGACAGAATATATAAATTCTAATGTTGAAGGGATAATTACTAAACTAACTGCAACTGGTATGAAGAAATATTTGCTCCATAAGAAATAACATTACCATCAATGATAAGAATTCTAAGAATTAAAAATTACATCTTGGTAACGAAACCATTCAGTATGTCCACGAGTAGTTTTTTCCTCAGTAAAAGCTATTAGAATCTTCTATCATCTGGAAAATTACAACAGCGGAGATTTTCATATATTTTCAATATTGACATTGACATCAGGGAGTCTATTTGGAATGAGGGTCTAAAGTGTGTTTTAAAAGAATCAACAGGAATCACGTAAAGACTTAGTTCTGTTTAATGGTGGATTACATTTTTTGATGCTCTTGTCTCTGCAAATTAGCCTCCTATCTCATAAGCATGCAAAGACAGCTGACCACATGTATTATTTTTCTTTTTCAGCAATGGAACCAGAAAGATGAGTGTTTCAGCCAGACTTCCTCATTCAGATGTATTTGTGTTTCCACATGAAATCACTCAGATAAATATTAAACATCCAATTTTATGTTCAGTTCATATAATCTGAAATCCCTATGTAATAGAAGGATATTAGAGTGCCAGGTTTTGACAGTGTTATACTGCACTGGCTTACATTTTCAAACAGACCTCATGTTTATATACACACCCATTCTGTCCCATAGGAGAGATTAATAAAGCTCTACTATCTTAAAGAAAAAATGGATCCAATAACCAAACTACTGATTCAAGTGGCAGAGATGAATTATGAGTAGAAAAACAAACCATTTCCCATTTAATTCATCCATGTCAAAAAGTAATTTTGGTAGAACTTGGGACAAACTTCAAGGTACTGCAAAGGAATACATTAGGGGTTTTGTGTGTTTGTGTGTGTGTGTGTGTGTGTGTTAGTAGAAATCAAAATAGCCCTGAAATAAATTTTTAAAATCAATTTTTTTAGCCAGTTAATTACTCTGAGAGATTAATAGGGATAATGAAAGCAAGGGTAACACTGCAACCCCACTCTTTAAGTACACTCTTAGAATATTTAAAGTGTATTTGAGGTTACACGGAGATTCGAAAACAATTCTAAGACAGATCTGCTGTCTGTCCCTAGGTCAAGACTGGAACAATAATAGATTTATGAAATATCTAGAGTCGAAGAAAAACTCCTGACATTCCCTTCTAAGAATTTCCATACTCTAAGGGACAGGGTCCTGGTTTTATATTATGTCACAAGCCATCTTTGGTTTGAATATTCTTATAGACTTCCTGAGTTTTCTTCACGTTCTTCTAGACAGAAATCTCTTCACTACAAAGCCAGCTCAGTGCTAAAACCCGGGTGACCGTGCTACAGCTCTTTAAAATTTCCATGTGTGAACAAGACCCCAGTTCACTCAAACGAACCCGCCTCTTACCATCATCTTCACACTCTTCCAGGGGCTTCTGCTGCTTGTTCAGGCACCGAGGGTCTAACCAAGATGTCGTCTTTGTGTTATGGCTGAAATCCAGAAATAAAAACAAAAAATGTTGTTTAAGAAGATGCCCAATGACAAAGGATTATACACTTTTCAACCAAAGCAATGATACTTTTCGACAACAAACCAAACCTTAAGGTGCTTGCTTCCCTTCCATGTTGCCAAGCCTGATTTGATCCCCGGTACCACCAGGTGTGACCACTGAGGACAGAGTCAGGAGTAGTCCTGAGCACCGTGGGGTGTAGTTCCCCCAAACCATCAAAACCCGCACCACCTCCAAAATATTCAAAGAGCAGCAAATCCAGTCCAGGAGAAAGCTCAAGCTTGGGATTCTAAAATAGCCCGAGGAGGGTGTTAGTAGGCTTTTAACTTTCCTAAGATATAATCATTCCATTAAGGAACATTAAGGAAAGTTTTAAGTGTAATACTAGTTTTGGTTTTGAAAAATGAGTTCCAAATGACACATCCTGTCTATACTCTCTCCCCTTGTCTAGACATATTTTATTCTTCACATTTGTCAAAAAAAAATGCCAGTTTATTTTAAATTTTCTCTGACTTAAATCTTGGATGCTGTAATTCACAAAAAGCTTACTCTTTTACTCCTTATATTACATAAGAATTCTCATGACAGGGGCTAGAATGACAGCACAGAGGGTAGGGCATTTGCCTTGCACACGGCCCAACCCGGGTTCAATTCCCAGTACCCCATATGGTCCCCTGAGCATGGCCAGGAGTAATTCCTGAGTGCATGAACCAGGAGTTACCCCTGTGCATCTCTGTGTGTGACCCAAAAAGCAAAAAAAAAAAAAAAATTCTCATGACAGCACGAAACTATCCCGATTCATATAAGTACCTCAAAGCTCCAAATATATATCATTAATACAACTGTCCCACATTATGCTTCAGACACAGTGAAGGCAACCCCAAATTACCCGTCATAAATAGAACCTGTGCAAGAAAAAGCTTGGAGAAGTTAAACATGTCATCCAGCTTTCTTCTGGGGAGTACGGTTTTATTCTAGAGGAAATGGTTCCAAAGACATATATTTCCGTAGATTTTAAGGGTCTGTTATTGTATAGAAATATTTCTCAAAACACTGACCTTCAATCTTGTTAGAAATCTCCCTAGGATGACAGGAGGAACTGACCCAAAGCAGATAAATATACAACAATGAAGTTCTGCTTGAGCTCCTTATCCACTCTATGTAAGCTAAACAGGAGGGACAAAGTTCAGTGGTTCTAGCTACAAAACAGAATTGTAGTGCTGTGGCACTGTCCTCCTGTTTGTTGTTCATTGATTTGCTCAAGTGGGCACCAGTAACATCTCCATTGTGGGACTCGTTACTGTGTTTCACATATTGAATATGCCATGGGGAACTTGTGGGCCAGATACTCTCGGTAACTTGTTGGGCTCTCCGAGAGGGGTGGAGGAATTGAACCCGGGTCGACTGCGTGCAAGGCAAATACCCTACCCTCTGTGCTATCGCTCCAGCCCAACCAGAATTGAGAATAAGAAAATTTTAAAATGTGTTGACAGTTAGGAAACAACACTCATTTAGGGCAAGCCTTATGTTTAGGTTGTAAATATGTTGAAAAACAGATATTTTAAAATTTCAGATTACAATTTGTCAATTGTTGAATTCAAATCTTATGAACTGTTGAAAAAATGACAGCCTAATTGAAAAGAGGATGTGCAAATGTACACACACATTATCCCACGTTATTCCTACTATTCAGCAGACCACTCTCCGCACACATGAAGGTACTGGCAGAGGGACAAATCCACGCAGGTTCCAGGGCCGAGATCTCCCAGCCTACTCGGATTGGAGTCGAGCATCCTCCACCCAGATCCTCCAAATTCCAGTAGGCGGGGGTCACACCCACCACCTGGCCCCCTGGCGCCGTGTAATCCCATCAACAGCCAAGACTCAGAGACTATAAAATCCACCTCCAGGAATCGCGCAGACGCGATCGAGGCCGCAACATCTTATCAGGACATCTTTTTATGACACCTTATTATCTCATTCCTACTTTGGACAAACTGGCAGGCTACCGAATGTAGCCTGCCCACACGGCAGAGTTTGGCAAACTCCCTGTGGCTTACCAAATATGCCAAATACCAGTAACAATGATGGGTCTCATTCTCCTAAAGAGCCTTGAATATAATCTCAGGGCTAGGATGAAAGAGACGTTACTGGGGCCTGCTCGAGGCAATCGACGAATAACAGGATGATGAAATGAAAAATTCCTACTACTAAAATGTAAGATAGTGCTCCCGTTTCCCAGTCGGCGGAGTCAGGGGGAACTTCCTGGAGGAACTGAGAGCCAGGTTACCTCTGGATGGGGTACCAAATGTCACACCTGTCTTCTTAGAATATTTTCTGGTGCATCATTGGGGTTGGAGTGATAGCACAGCGGGCAGGGCATTTGCCTTGCACGCGAACGACCCGGGTTCGATTCCTACGTCCCTCTCTTAGAGCCCGGCAAGCTACGGAGAGTATCCCACCTGCACTGCAGAGCCTGTAAAGCTCCCCATGGCGTATTGGATATGCCAAAACAGTAACAACAAGTCTCACAATGGAGACTTTCCTAGTGCCTGCTCGAGCAAATCAATGAACAAGGGGAGGACAGTGCTACAGTGATACTAAAAATGTAATATAGTCACACACAGCACAACCAATACTGCTTATTTGTCCACTGACAACTCTAGAATCTGCTCTGATTTATATGTATGCTATAACTTAATTATTACAATAATCCTGAAAGAAATATTAGTATGAAATGATTACTTTCATTTTTTCAGTGACAGTACAGGTAAAGACTTGGGCAAAAAGAAAAAGAGTGTCTATTATCATAGTTTTGTTGCAGCTATTATTATTAATAACCTTGGTATTTAGCAGAGCCAGTAAACCCTAGACCTTTTAATAGGTTGTATAAGATACAATAAATGTGATTACAAAAATCTCTTTCAAGATAAGGCAACAACTCTACCTAGCTATGATCTAGGTTTCCCTTCTTGGTTTGAAGAAAAAATGGGCTCTAGACTTGTTGAGTGATTTTTGCTGAAACAATGGGCAAGAGCCAACCAGTTGTGGAAAAATCTAACTTACAATTTGTTAGATGAAATAAAAGAGAACAGAGAGGTTAGAAGAAAGCCCTAGAGACAAATAGTACAGGAGGTAAGTCGTGTGCCTAGCATGCAGCCTGGCACCAACTATGGTATCCTGAACACCACTAGGGGTCACTCCTGAGCACAGAGGCAGAAATAGCCGTTGAGCACTGCCAGGTATAACCCCAAATTTAAAAGCGGGGGGGTGGGGGGGGGAAGAAAAGGAATAGGATAGGAAGGAGAGGAGAGCAAAGGAAAGAAGGAAATTTCTCCAAGAACACTCTGTTGGTAGATAGGCAGAATTGGGGGAGGGGCATGGGGGGTGGGGCTTGAAGGGGTGAGAGGGAAACTGAAGACATGATGCTGGGAAATACACTAGTGGAGGAATGGGTGTTGAAACACTGCATGACTGAAACACAATCATGAACAATTTTGTAATGCTCTACCTCACGGTGATTCGATAAAAAAATTTTTTTTAAAGATAGGCAGAATTGAAAAGTCAAACACAAGCCCACACTCTGTACTATTCCTACACAGCAAGACCTAAAAAAATGATCACTGCTGGTCAAGAAGAATCTGTAGGATTTTTAATGACTATTTTAAAATGCTCAAGATAAAGCAGTGATGAGAACAGAGATCCACATGCCCTATTCAAGAATCCACCATGGTAACCTCTTGCAAAACTATAGCTCACTGTCATAATAAGTACCCTTTTTTGTGATTTTTTGTTTGTTTGTTTGTTTGTTGTCTGTTCTTGGGTTATACCAGCAGTGCTTAGAGCTTACTCCTATTCAGGGATCACTCCTGGTGGTGCTCATGGATTATATGTGGCATCAGGGATTGAACCCAGGTCACGCACGTGTAAGGCAAGCATCCTACCCACTGTACTGTGGCTCTGGTCCTGGATATCCAGACAACACAAAATACAAAGCATTTCCATATCGAAAGGATCCCTTAGGCAGCCCTTAGAGAGCCACCACTGGTTCCCTTACAACCTCTTACCCCAGATCTATTTAATTTTGTCCCATCAAAATGGTTATGCGTGAGCCCAGGGACAACCCAATGGTAGAGTGCCTGACTTCGGGCATGAAGAAAGAGTGTGTTGTCAATGGTTTGAGCTCCCTGGCACCACAACAGAGTGTATGGTCTCCTATGCTCATCAACCGAATGCATGCAAGCAGCACAACAACAGAGTCTGGTCTGCTGAGCAATGCAACTAAAACATGCATGCACTGGGCCCAAGTGTGTGTCTTTAATAACAGTGGGAAGACATTTGCATGATCTAAAGAGAAAAATAAGTATCCATCATGCTGATGAAGTAATAGTAACTGGCTTTCTTTTGTTGAAGCATAGTCTTTTATTATATGAATATGTCACAACTTATTTACTCTTTCAGCCACTAATGGGATTTGAATAAAACTATAATGGAGATTTTCATACCAAAAAAAAAAAAACAGTGGAAAGAAAGATGTGAGGAGTGGTAGAATATTCTAAAAATAAACTCATACATGATAAGAGCCTTTAAGTTATATGTTTTGCATACACCATAATCCTTAACAATGTTATTGCATGTAGCAGTAATTATCCCTCTCATTGCTGAATAGCTCCTTGGATGGATACATCAAAATTTAACTACTCCAACAGGTTTTACCTAAATCTCAAAGATATAGTATCCACCCGTTGCTTTCTATTTTAGACTTCAGTCTGTAATGATCCATTTTGAATTTTGTTTTTGTATAAGATGTGAAATTTAAGGCTGCTATCCGCCTCCAACTAAACACTTGCTCCAGCACTATTTTAACGGAAAGACTCTCTTCCCTCTAGTGAAATGATTTTGTAACTTTGTTGAAGATGTTTTGGAAAAACTGGAGAGTCTGTTTCTGAGTTCCACGGAACAATGTGTCTCTTCATCTAT